GTGTGATATAAAAAACAAACAAACAAACAAACAAACAAAAAAAAACTTTGTGCATCTAACTAGTCCAGAGTCACAGCCAAGTGAGATCCTACCTTTACACATATGGATCAGCAACAGCAAGACCGGTTCAGATCAGGATATTAAGGTTGTTTTCACACTCATTCATTCAACCAAAATTTGGACAGGTAAATCCCATCGAGCCTCGAGGACTCATTTACAAGAGAGACCTGATTTCAACAAAGAATGATGACAACAATGGACAACAGCGACAACAATAAACAATTATAAAAAGTCATACAAATTTTTTAATTTTTTTCCCCACACCTGATAGTCCGGTAGACTCAGTTCGGTTGGGGACAAATATTCATAACATTTTGTTTACATTTGAGCTGGTGCGTTTGCATTCACACTGCACTGTGCAGTCGAGCCAACCTGTTCCCCCATTCGCCTGTGGTGGCGCTGCAGCAAGAACTACTGAAAGAAACGACACAAAAACCTTTGAAGACACTTCTTCTTCTGGAAATAAAAACAAATTTTAGCAGTTTTAGGAGTTATATTTTGTCATTTTTCAAAAATGGACTCAGCATGAGCGGAAGATGAGGCAGAAGACCATGGAGAATGTTGTTTTTCACATAAGGTAAGCTGACGACTCAACATGAGGTAAGAGAAATGCGTGTTTGTTTGCCTTGTGTTGTAGTCCACTTCTTGCTTGTGGAGCGGGGCCCGGTCTGCTTGCATTCACACTGTACTCGAACCACGCTGGAGTTTTCTTCTACTGGACCGAGACCTAGGTTTTAGACCGGGCCAGAGTTCGCCTTTTTGTTCCGTGACAGAGTTCGATGGCGCGTTCACACCTCCCCCAAATAAACCGGACTTCCTAGGCAAACAGGCTAGAGTCCGGGACAACAGGGCTAGTGTGAATGCACCCTAAGTCTCTCTTGTAAGAGTCCCCGAGGCTCAATGGAATTAACCTGTCTAAATAAGGGTTGCATGACAGTGGTCCAACAAAGGTTTGCTCAGCATGGCCACTGACAATGATGACAGTTCATTCTTTTTCATTTGAATTTAGAAACATAAACTACTACATATAAACTAGAAACCTGTTCCATGTACGTAAAGCCCACTCCAGGCCATCAGCCTCAGAGTTTAAGACATCGTCAATATATTTCAGGAAGTTGTCAGTACCACATCACCTACCTTATTATGTCATAAAACTGGGAATGAAAGAAAACTAAATGCAACTGGTCTCTTCTTCCAACTCTTCTGGGAGGACTCCAAAATGTTTCCAGACCAGCAGAGAGACATAGTCTCTCCAGCATGTCCTAGATCTTCCCCGAGGTCTCCTCCCAGTTGGACATGTCCAGAACACCTCTCTATGAAGGGGTCTAGGGTCCATCCTTACCAGATGTCTGAACCACCTCATCTGGCTCCTCTGGATGTGGAGGAGCAGTGGTTCTACTCAAGAGTCTCTCCTCAATATCTGAACTTTCTCACCCTCTCTCTCTCTCTGTGGAGAGAACTCTTTTAGATTTCCTGGATCTAGAATCTGGATCTTAAAACCAGAAGTAGACATTTAAGAAAAACTTTCATTTTTAGGTCAAACTTAGTCCAACAATACCCGAAACATCTGTTCAAAAATATTAAACCAGCGACTAGGGAGTATAAGCCAGTGTATCCCTAGTTCTGGTCCCAAGCCCAGGTAAATGGCAAGGGTTGTGTCAGGAAAGGCATCTGATGTAACCACTTTTGCCAAAACTAATATGCAAGTTCATCTAAGCGACACGATACAGGATCAGTATCAGTGAACAGAGGCACAAGTTAATAACGACCGCCACCAGTGCTGTTGACAAACAGGGTGCCAGCAAAAATTCTGCTATGTTTGTCAAAGACCATGAGGAGGGAAACGTGTCAGGAGACTGAGGGAGAAGAGGAAAGTCAAGAATGTAGAACTGAGGGTTGCAACTCTAAATGTGGGGACAATGACAGGCAAAGGTAGAGAGCTGGCTGACACAATGCAAAGAAGGAAGGTAGATGTTTTATGTGTCCAAGAGACCAAGTGGAAGGGCAGCAAGGCTCGCAGCATTGGAGCAGGGTTCAAACTGTTTTACCATGGTGTGGATAGAAAGAGAAATGGATTAGGGGTGGTCCTGAAGGAAGAGTTAGCAAAGAATGTAGTAGAGGTGAAAAGAGAGGATGATGTGTCTGAAGGTAGAAGTAGAAAGTCTGATGCTAAATGCTGTCAGTGGTTGTGCTCCACAGGTTTGATGTGATGCAAAGAAGAGGTTGTTGCTGGGGATAGAATGGACAGAGAATATCGGTTGGTTGTATTTAGAATGACTGTTGGTGTGAAGAAGAAAAAAGAGTAAAATCAGAGAAGAAAACCAAATGGTGGGAGCTGAGAAAAGAAGAATGTTGTGAGGAGTTCAGAGAGGAGCTGTTAAAGGCTCTGGGTGGTACGAAAGAGCTTCTAGATGACTGGCCTATAACAGCAACAGTAGTTAGAAACACAGGTAGGAAGGTACTTGGTGTGTCATCTGGACAGAGAATAGATGATAAGGAAACCTGGTGGTAGAATAGTGAAGAGCAGAAAGCTATTCAAAGAAACAAGTTAGCCAGGAAGAAATATGACAGTGAGAGGACAAAAGAGAGGAGACAGGAATATAAGGAGATGCAAAATAGAGCAAAGAGGGAGGTACCAAACGCAAAGAAGAAGGCGTTTGATGAATTGTATGGGAGGCTGGACACTAAAGAGGATGAGAAGGACTTGTACCGACTGGCGAGACAGAGAGATCAGGCTGGAAAGGATGTGCAGCAGGTTAGGCTTGTTAAAGACAGGAATGGTAATGTTTTTACAAGTTAGGAAACTGTGACAGGAATATGGAAGAAGTACTTTGGGGAACTAATGAATGAAGAGAATGAAAGATTCAGAGTCAGAGAGTCAGTCAAAGTTTCTTTATTGTTTTTTGCACCACATGTGGTACATGTGGTGGAACAAGATTATGTACACAGTGTCCCAGTTACATCCCACAATTAAATGTAAACAAAAAACAGTAAAAAGATATGATATGAACTAAGAAAAACATCAACTAAAAATACACTAGGCACTAATAGCATAAAAACAATATGCCGAACAGCAACACGAAAGAGAAAGAAGAAAGAGGAAAAAAGAGTAGAGAACGAAGAGTATAGGTCATAGAAACTGTGGACCGAGAAGTGGGAAAGAGTAATGGAGGTGAAGTTCACAAAGCTCTAAAAAGAATAAAGAAGGGGAAGGCATTAAGACCTGATAACATAACATTGGAGGGTTGGAAATGTCTTTGAGAGATGGCGCCCCCGCTCAAAAACTGTTGGTACAAGCTGCGCTCAGACATGTCTCCATTCCCCCCCATCAACAAAAATCATGGATGAGATGAGCACCGCACCATGGCAAGTTAACAAGGAGAAACATTGCACATGGACACTTTCTTCCATGTAGGTGAAGCCACACAACAAATTGGAGGTTTGTAGCTCACGTTATCAAGTTATCATGCTCACAATGTGCACAGACGAATGAAGGGTATTTCAGGTTCCCCCTTTTCGCTCCGGGGGAGCAGCTGACCCACCTGCTCCATCTAGGTATTGGCCCGTTCCTTTGAGTCAGCCGGTCAGTATAAACGAAGATGAATGAGGAAGGATATATATCGTTTGTACTTTTGTACCATTCTCTGATAAACTAAATGAAGGTTTTATTAATGTAAGTGTTTGGGTTTCTGGGCATTCTGCAGTGATGTTCAGGTCTGTAGAAGACTAGAGTATGAAGTGTCCCTGAAGTAATAGGAGGGACAGCTGAACAAGCAGATCAGGTCTTTATGATAAGAAGACCTGCTGTGGTATGACCCTCCCCCTCTCAGCATCGTTAAGGTCCATTTAAGCCTCTGAAGTGACGAGTCAGAGGAAAGGCAGGTATGACGGGTGAAAAACTGAACCACAAGGGAAAGAGATGAGGTCATGACCTCTGACCTGGAGTCGACTCCCTCTGATGACTCCCAGCTGAGATGGACACCTATCAGCCATTGTTTCCCTCCATTCTCCTCCATAAAACAATAACTGGATCAGTTCTTTAAAGTTTTTACTCAAGTCAATAAATCCTCACCAATCCCAGCCAAGTTAAGCCACAAATTAACTGTGACGTTAACAAACAAATTTTTTAAAGGTTTGTCATTAAACCATAACTCCAACTGACCCACTGAGTCAGATCTGTAAAACAAACTACATAAAGTTATTTCAGATGTTAGCAGAAGGGAACACGAAGCTTTGCTGCATACGTAGGACAGAGTTTTGAGCTCCCCCTGACGTCTGCAGGGGGAGTGACTCTGCAGAGGGTGTTCCTCCATGGACGCCTGACTGGTTGGGATCTAATTGCTCTGAAGTGAGGTCAGCGGGAGGCATTTATCTAGTGCACGGTGTCGAAGAAGATGCATGGAGGATCAGGGAAACCCATACACGGGAACTGAAGTTGGTTTAACTTGGACACTTTAGAACTGAAGACTCTCTTTAAGAGGAAAACGTCCCCCAGCTCAGGTAGGTCACCAAACTGTAGGTTTTAGTAAAATGTGTTTTATTTAAAACACGAGGGAGGTTAAAGAGTCTCTGTCAAGACTAAATTATACATTTATACTAAGGGATGGGGGGATTTATTGTGTTTATTTATATACAAATTCTATTTTTTTGTAGTAGATATAGTGTCCACGTCTTCCTAACCTGGATCATGTCCCCAACTGTTGGACTATTGTCTCAGGTGGACCTTAAATGAGGACTACTGAGAGACACCGTCCTCTGAAACTGTCTGCTGTTGTCTTCATGAGTCTTCTCACCAACCAACCCAAACCGACCTGAGAACATTTCCCCGTTCGGAATCTCTGAAACCAGGACCTGGAGGTTGCAGGGCAGGGGTCAGAGGTCAGGGGTCACTGCCAGCTCTTCAGTATGTGTTTCATTGACCCCCACAGCAGTGTATCATAATGCACAGATGGATGCTGACATGGAACCTTCACAGAGCGCTGTCGGGATTCTACCTGCACGCCGTCTTCCTGTTTGGCAGCGTGCACGTGGCCTGCGGTGACTGCACGCCAGGGCAGCTGGCCGCCATCATGAACTGCTCTAAATACGAGCGCCACACCAGAAACTCCGACTACATGGAAGGGGGGGATGTGCGCATTCGCCAGCTGTACAGCCGAACACAGTGGTTTATGACAATCGACGACTCCGGGAACATCAGGGGGACTCAGGATCCCACCAACTGCTACAGTAAGAACCAGACTTCCTGTTGAATGTTCGGTGTACATCCACCTGTGCTTTCTCTGCATGTTCAGGAAGGTAAACGTAGAAGCATCACTAATGAGGAACAGGAGGGATTTCACACGAAGGTCTTGATTTGAACAAGTAGGAGCTAAAATGAAGCTAAAACAAAAGACACTTGTCCATTAGACTTACTCCTTTAAATGACTGAATACATAAATAAATAGATTTGCTTCAACTGTTGGTGTAAAAACAAATAAAGCATTTGATGTAAGATTTAAATGGTAATATGAGCACATCCTTAGAAAATAGCAACAGTTTGGATGTGATAATAATCCTGACAGCTTAAGGCGTGAACTCTGGACCTCAGAGGAGTCATGAGAACTGTTTTGACAAGCTGAACAGTTCCTTTATGTTGGTAAAAGTTCAGATACGTTCTGATTATTATAAAGGTTAGGCTGTTGGAAGAAAACAAGAGTCAAACCATTTTCAAGCTTTTACTGAATATAGTTTATCTAAAGTTTCTATATTTTGGTATCTTTGAAACAAAACTTGTGTAAATATGTTTTTTTTTATTCTCCTAAAATATTTCATGCTGTATGATGCTTTAATCAAAGAACCTTTAGATTTATTCATTCACCTTTTGATTTTAGTTTTCTCTATTCCTTTTCTAGCTGTATTGTTATTCCTTTGTGCATTTCTTCTGTTTATCGGTTGTCAGTGTTTTATTGTTTCTAATGGAACATGAAGAAATGAGTGGATATTTATTCATAATTATCCACCTGTACAAGGTGAATTATGACCTTTTATCTGCTCCACACGTTGTCCAGCCTGCGTGGTTTGAAATGCGCTTTATAATGAAAGTTTGAGAGTATTGAAGGTTCCAGCTGGAAGGTTAACTCAGAACAGAAGGTCAAAGGTCAAACCCAGGCAGGGGACCCTCTCTACAGAAATGAGGTAAAGACAAATAAAAGATGCCATGTTGGTGCGGTGTCGCCTGAAAGAGCCCGGTCCAGTTCAGGTGGTTGTAAACCAGGAGGTTCTGTTATAAACTACTGTTGAACCAATTTAATGGTTCTTTCTTGTTCTGGTGATCTGAGGTCCACAAATCTCCAATAAGTACCAAAAAGTCCCCAGAATCTCGGATGGTGCCTCCCACCTGATGGGTCTGAGGGGTTTGGATCTCCACCACCAAAAATAGGCTGTGAGAAAGAAACCAAAGGTTCCGAAGAAAGGTCTGGTTCTGTAGGTCTGTGAACCCAGGACCCCTGGACTTTACACATTTTCAGTTGCATTTATGCCGCCATAAATCAGGGGAAGGGATCCAAATTTTTTTTGGGGGCAGAACAGACAAACAATTCTTAAACTTCTCATGAACTGAAACAAACATGTTAGGGTTAAAACTGCTTGAGTTCATTCTCTAATGAAAATAAAAACACATTCTATTCTCTAGAGTAGAACACACACGCCGTGAAGACTTCAGCTCCGAAACGGTTTGATTTGTGTTTACAGCTCGAAGCCGAATCACAGTCAGGATGTTTTGTGTCGTTATCATTTCCTCCCATCGGACAGAAGCTGGAATGTTGCTTTAAAAAAAGATTCCTGATGAAAACGATGTTTGTGCAACAAAAAGAACAGAACCCGATACGACCACGTGGGCCTGAAGCACCAATAATCCTCTGACGGGTGCATGGTTACACAAGAATCACAAAACTCCAAGCAAAACTTGATTTTGGTTTTTAAAAATGCTTGTCGGTTTTTATGTTCCAGCTTGGATCCAAAATCTAAATGTTTGGATTGTGCTGTTCCTCTGAGGAATCAAGTTAAACATCACTCTAATATTCAGTACCAAATCACAAAAGTAATTCTGCTCAAATGTTTGAAACCAGTGAAGCTATGATCTCATTCAGGCAAATAGTCAGGTTTAAGAGGTTTTCAGAACCCAAGCTGCAGACAGACACAAAAGGCTCAGAGGTAAAACTAAAAGTGGTTTAATAACCGAAGAAACAAGTCTACGGTGGGGCAGCAGAAACACTCAGACAACTTCTCTCTGGAGAACACGAGGGAGCAAACAGGGACAGCTACGGGAGACGCAAAGAACGGACAGGGAAGTGACCCAACGACAGAATAAAGAATCACTAATGACAGACGATGATCCGCACCGAGGGACGATGACGAGGATCAGGAGCTGAACTACATGAGGGGAAAACACGGAAAAACAAAATATCAAGGTCACAGAACTAAAAAATAACACACAAGACACAGATCCAGACACAAATCTGTATGAATAAAATATATTGATCAGAAACATGTGACGCGCTGCATCATAATCTATGCTGATAAAGGTTTCTGTAAAGTAAAAAATATATAATTCAGATATTAATGAAGTTCCTTGAAGGTAAAGTCAAGGTTGGGTTTGACCGTTGGATCACATCTGTTAAGAAAACTGAGGAGCTCAATTTGAAATTGAGTAAAGTGTTAAATGTGGTGCAGAATCATGAATTATCAGAAAGCTTTGAGTTGGATCAACTTTCTGACTCATTCTTTGGTAAATTTATAACTAACATCCTTTAAAAAGGTGCCCAAGCAGAAAAAATAAATAAATCATACACTTAATTTTTGGTCCAGAAAATGTAGAATTGACATTTTTATTCATGTTTGTTAGTTTATTAGTGTTTAATTCAGTTAAAACTGGAGAGGCTCTTTAAAACCCAACCTTTAAAATGCCTCTCTGTTTGAAAATGATTTCATATTAAACCTCCGTAGACGTTAAATGTATTATCAGTCATGGAGGGAATTACAAAAAGAAACTATCAGAAAACAAAGTTTTCATAATTCAAAGCTGATAAAGTATCAATTTTCCCCTAGAAAATGTATAACTTCGTTGTTGTTCTTTATCTAAATTTATGGAGTTTTATTATTTGATATTTTCTGCTCCTGATGAAAAGTCAAACCATAAAAACTGAACGAAACAGCATCTTTTTGACCATTTTTTTTAAACTCTTATTTTCATAAGAGTTTCAAATTTATGGCCTTTATAGGTTTTAGATGACAAAAAACGTGTTCCTTATAAACCTTATATTGAGGCAGGAGTTCCACAAGGCTCACAAGGTGTTCTTGATCCCGTCTTACTTAAGATGAATGGCTAAATGTGTACTTGACACAGTTATTTAAATCCTGAAACATCTGTAACTCTAAATCTGCAGGACCGGCTCTCTGGATCTGGACTCTTATTAAAAACAAAAAGTCGACAATATTAATAAAACAATCTGAGGTTCTGCAGCAGTTAGGTGTTTTTGTGAACAGTTTAATATTGTAAAGAATTTAAATATTTCTGCATCACACTGGATCCCACATTATCCTTCAAGAACATTTTCAAAACAGTCCAAATTCCACCTTGAAGCTTTAAACAAATAAGACAACATTTGAAAGTAAAAACTGCAGGATGTTTCAGCATCCAGTGGTTCTTTTGTTAATGTTTCACTTTCTGGGTTTTCACAACTACTTGTAGATCAGATCTTGAAATAATAGCAACGCATGTTCAGTTTAAGTTTGTGTTTGCGTGAACTTGCCCTGCCTCCTTTAGATGGTTATACAGGAAATGACGTCAGGGTCAGATCTACAGATAACTGTCAGGTGTCATGTGGACGTCCAACGTTTGGACAAACCCTTTTCAGTCCAAGTAGTAAATATTGGGATATATGATCACCACCTTTAAGCTTCATCTCAAGGAACATCACACCTGTCATCACTATCAATTAACATGTGTGTACTTTATTATTTACTTCATTTTAGTTCTAATTTACTGATGTCACTGGTGCATGTGTGCTGTTAGGCTTTGTTTCATTTAATCTTATGAGCTTTACCATCAACCTGCTCAGAACAAAAGATGAAAATGAACCCCCGAGGCTAAATCTGGCACATTTACAGGATAAAGCCATGTTTATTAATGTGCACTGCCTCTCTTAAAGAAAACAATGTCAAAGAATTATTGAACTCTAAACTGATCTAGAGACTTCAATTTTAAAATGAGCTCTTAAAGCGATAGAGTGAATAAACTTTAAACAAAGCAGAACGTTTTGGCAAGTGAAGTATATAATTTGCCTTTAAGCATCATTTTGAAACATGAAGGTTTGATTTGAAGTAGCGTGCATAGCAGATGCAGGGAGGTAGTTTCCTCACTCCCACGGGGGAGGAGGGGGGGTAATCTGTCTCCCATATGTGTGGTGGCACACAGGCTGTGGTTTGTATAACGGCCACCCAGGCAAAGTTAACAAGACGTGAACGAAGCCAGAGAGCCACAGACTGATTAATGACAGGAACCTCCAGCTCCTACGTTAATGAAGATTAATGTGGAGGTGGGAGCAAGGTGGGGAGACAGGTTCTTATCTGTCCTGCAATGTGTCTCTGGCAGGTATTCTGGAGATCAGGACGGTGTCGGAGCGAGGCCTGACCATCAAAGGCATCAAGAGTCAGTTCTACATCTCCATGAACAAGAAGGGACAGTTGAAGGGAAAGGTAGGCCTGCTTCTCGTCACAGTGAAAACCAGACAGGAAAACGTCTTCCAACGTGCTGTGTCTCCACTACAGAGGATCTACAACAAAAACTGCGAGTTCACAGAGTTTTTCCTAGAAAACTACTTCAATGCTTACGCGTCTGTGAACAAGTGGAACAAAACTAAAGAGATGTTCATCGCTCTGTCGCAGAAAGGACGGCCACTGAGGGGCAACAAGACCAGGAGGGAGCAGGTACCTGCTGCTGCTTTATCTTCTACTCCTTCCTCTTCTTCTTTCAGCTGGTCCCTCTTCTGAGTCCTCCTCCGCCTCACTCTGTCCTCTTGAGTCCTCTGTCCTCACTCCAACTACCTCCATGTCCTCTTTAACTGCATCCAAATATCTCCTCTTTGTCTTCCAGGTAGCGTCTCACTTCATCCCCATGAAGTGCAAGGAGGACGAGGACAGACGAGTGGAGTGAAGACACCTACGGTCCGGTTTCCATCCTGTGAACACGTATAAAACACGCATGTAGTTCTGACAGCACGCCACGCTCCCCTAATGTGTAGCCATTTTCACACAAAGCTCGTTGGTGGAATACTGGAGTCCACCTTAAGGATGGACCTGGATCAGGACAGAAACTAGCTGCTGCCAGAACCAAGGTCCAGGATGGAGGTGGGGTTTGACCCAGAAGAGCTGAAGCAAGCTGGACTTGTGTTTAAGGAGAACAGAAAGAAGTTGTTTCTGTTTTCTCCTGGTTTTCTTTATGAAAAAGATGCTGCTGCTGGAAAATCCTCCAGATTAAAACTAACACCACAATAAACCTGTCCTCTATTTCATAACTTATTATTTGTAAAGATATTTTCTCTAATTCTCTACGAACAATCCCATTTTATTCAGAGTAATAAATCAAATAAAACCTGCCTGCACATCTGTCTATTTTATCACAAACATTAATCAAACTTCGGCTGCAGCGTGTCATTTTTCCTTCTTCACGTGAAACAGTTTAATTTCAAATGTTCCTCTTTTTGACAGCTGCGATCAGCTGTGACAGTTTCATAAAATTTGTTTCAAGAAAAATAATGTTTCCTCCTCACAGCTTAAAATCCTAAGCTAAAGGTAAATAAAGCAAAACAGAAGCTAAAATCAGCAAAACTGTAACTACAAGCTCAAATTAGGAAAACTAAAGCTAAAATGTGAAATGTAGCAAATCCACAGCTAGAAGCTAAAGTTTAATAAAACTGCCGCTAAAAGCTAAAATAAAGGAAACAGCTAAAAGTAGCAAAACCCTAGTTACAAGTTAGACTTTGCAAAATCTCTTCCTAAAAACCAAAATTAGCAAAACTGAAAATATCCTAAAAAGACAGAAACAGATTTCAAAGAGAACAATTACTTGAAGGAACTGAAGAGATTTTAAAGTGTTTCTATTGGACGGATGTTTGTAAATAAAGTGCAATATTTTAAAAAGTATTAAAGTTACAAAAACTAAAAGTCCCAGGTGCCATCTCCTGAATAAGCTGAATATTTAGCTGTAAAAACAGCTAAAACATCCCAGAGTCCATGGACCACATTGTAAACGTCACGAGTCAACTCATCAGCTTTACTTGGACTATCATCATATTATTAACATGAGCTGAGGCATTAAATGGACTGTACTTACATAGCGCCTTTCTATCTGATCAAAATACTCAAAGCACTTTACAACACAAACTGTGCCCTCATTTACACACTCATACAGCACTCTACTATATATTTACAAAGAATAATCAGTGCTTTATCACATTCATACATCGATGGGACACACATCAGAGGCAATGAGGGGTTCAGTGTCTTGCCCAGGGACACTTCAGCAGTGGTGGAGAAAGTACTCAAACACTGTACTTAGGTAAAAGTACAAACAGACAAAAATGTAGTCTAGTAAATGTAGAAGTACCACATTAACATTTTTACTTAAGTAAAAGTAAATAAGCACTTGCTGAATGTATTACCTAATGCAATGGTCTACAATATCATTAAGTGTGTGTACCGTATGTATATTTTCTGTAATACGTTAATAGTGTTGAGTCATTTTAATGATCAATGCTGCAGATTATACATGTTTTTATTGTGTTTACTCTGTGACACCGTTCACACTTGGACTTGTGATTCTGTGCATCAGAATTTTAGGGATGACATGCAGAGTTAAATACCATTAAGCAAAATAAGAAAGAGGAATGATTATACCTTTGAAAGTTTTTATTTAACACAAAGCAAAATCAATGTGTCATTTTAACTGCAGTAAACACATTTAAGTAAAAGCTCTCTGTCTGAAAAAAGGAGCATTAGACCTAATAAAGGAACCGGCACTGATCATTTCAACTCCAGTTTGTCATCAACTCTAGTTAAAATACTGTCTAGTCAACCTTGTAACGGGTCAATAGTGAACAATATTTTAACTTCATGACACCATTTTCAAAACTTGGACCCGAGTGTCGAGTCATTTGGAGACATGTCTTATCTCCCGTCACAACATCCCATGAACTGACACATTTTAATATTGAAGCAATAATTTCTTGTTTAAGTTCAAAAGAAGTTGGTTTTCAATGTTTTTGAGTCCAGTCTGGCTCTTTTGGGAGAGATAATCTGTCCTGCTGTACTGAATAGTCTTTCAATAATCTTTCAATAAGGCCATGGGTGGCACATATCTTCTGGCTGACTCTCTATGGTGGAATCCATTTTGTGTGTGTTAGCGGTGCTGCAGGTGCGCCCAGCTCAATGACGTATATACTAGAATACAGGTTATTGGCCCAGCTCATCTTGAAGGCAGGTCTAACGTTACCTGCCCACTTTGCAGTGATTCAATGGACCGATTCCCTTCTCACCATTGGTTACTTTCAAACTAAAGAACAAATGAAAAAACTGCAACGTGGATGGAACACAACACATTATAGAAATATACTGTAGTAGGAAGTACAGATACTTAATGTAAAATGTTGTGGAGTAACAGTCAAAAGTACCCACGTTTAACTCTACTTAAGTAAAGTACAGATACATGAAAAATGTGCTTCAGTACAGTAATGATTACTTGTATTAGTTACATCCCACCACTGCACTTCAGCATGTGGCTGCTGGTGGACTCGAACCCCCAGCTCTCGCATTGGAGGACGACTGCTCTAACCACTCAGCCACAGCCACCCCTACAGCGCAAAGATTCAGCGCTCAGGTCAAAGGTTGCGCTACAAACACCATAGTGGAGTGTTGTTGTTGAGCTGTGGGCGAGTTGCCAACAGGCTCACTAAAAGTCCACATAAAGATCACGTTTTACCTTTTTGTCTGAGTTCACATCTGGAATGGAAAACCCCCGTCGGAGAACAACGGTGAAACTGAGAGAACAAACTTCTGAAATACGACTGACCCAAACAACATGTGAGCAACGTGAAGCTTTCTGCCAAGTCACGCAAACCCAGACTTAGCAGATAATTTGTAACATGCTCCGAATGTAAACAGGTTTCAAGAGTTGGGGCGGCTCGATCCCAGCGGGACCAGGAGAGGCCGGGGCCAAGCAACACCGGAGACAAGCTTCGACACAGGAACAGAAACCGTTCCAAACCTTCTGCTCCTTCTGTTCTCATCCTGAAATCATTGGTTTTATTCCTCAAAGCTCCGTGACGACACGAAGTCACGCTAAAAAAATACTAGCTTTGAGAAAACACAGCTGAACTCTCCACTAACAACAGTCTTTAATCCACGTCTGTTAGCAAAATATCTGCTGGATGGGTTTAATGAAACCTTGAGGATATAATCACTGGATGATCAACCTGATTCAAGCTGGCCACCACAGCTATCTGGCATTAGAAACACTAAAAAGGTTTTAACGCAGTCAGTTTTACAGATGCCGAGCGGTGTGGTAGTAGCTGTTCACCCTCAAGGTGCTAACAGATCACATAAGATCGGGCGACATGCATTCCTTCAAGGAAGTCTTATTTTAATGGCACCCCTTCACAATAAGAGCTTGTTTATTCATGCTTTATAAACAGAAGGAAGATTTTGAAGGTTAGACCCAAACACGTGTGACTTCATCTGAGCTCAACAGGAGAGTTCAGTCTGAAGGTAGTGGGCGACATGCATTCTTTCAAGGAACTCTAGGCCTCTGATTATAAAAAGTAAAACGAGCTGACCAAACTCCTGCCAGGAATAAAGTCAAGATTTATATTTGAGTATAGCTTATTTTAGTTTTATATTATTAATATTAAGAAGCATACATGACGAGGCTAGAACCTGCTGGAGACTTCATCATCTCTGAGCTCTGTAGCTTCTCTGGGCTTTGATGGAGCCCAGGGGTTGGAACAAATTCAGTAATCCTTCAGAACCGCTCCGCTGGACCCACGTGTCCTCTGTTAAAGACTGAAGACGACACACAAGGAGAGAAACCGACGGGGGAACACAGGTGAGACACATGAGGAGAGAAACCGGCGGGGGAACACAGGTGAGACACATGAGGAGAGACAGAGGTGAGACACACGAGGAGAGACAGAGGTGAGACACACGAGGAGAGAATCCAGAGGAGTCTCCTGCGATGTGGGGAGTTGTGTGTGTGTGTGTGTGTGTATGCAGCCTGGAGGCCAGCACCAGTCCAGTGAATGCCTGTCACCCGCTTTCTTTGTAGCCGTGTCTTCGGTGCTCTCCTTCTGATCAAACCTTACAAACAGCAACATGTGCGACCCCTCAGAGTTGTTGTTGGGGATCACTCTCAGCTACCACCACCCCACAGTTCAGCTCAGTCTGGATACATTTCACTGAGTCAGAGGCATTTCTGTGCAGGCTGTGTTCTATTAGCTGTGACGGCCATCTTGAACTGGGTTGACATCTAATGGTTACTGAAGTGTGTCCACTGGTTCACGAGATATTTTGCTAACAGACAGACAGCTGTCAGCGATGGGGCACAATAAGTCCATTAATCCCAATAATTGCAATAATGAGGATAGGTTTTCTGGTGTTGTCTCTCCTGCAGATGTTCCAGATGTTCAAGACAAACTGACAGTAACAAGAAAACGGTCAAACGTAGAAGAAGCTGAAATTTGAAACTGCAACATAAACATAAATAAAGCAGAATGAAAAGACCTCAAAAGAAAACATTTGACTCGTCCTTGTCCTTTTGTCCTTCGAGGGCCCAGTTGGGTTCTGGTGTAGAGACCAAGCTGGTCCAAACTGCTGCAAGATGTTTATCTAGATATTTAAAGCATCTCATGGGTCCAATCATTGAAAGCAAAGCTCCTGAGTTACACTCGTGTGTGAGCGTGCAGGGAGACGCCTCGGACGTAGATCGACTCAGTCCGCCTTTAAAAGACGGGTTTTAAAAGGGACTGGACTAGAATTCTTCCAGAATCACGAGAGGCTGAATGGGTCAGAGTCGCTCTGAGTCACAAACTTGATCCACCTCCATAAAAAAAGAAACTTGTTTTGTTTGATATTTAACTTGTTTTAATTATTTATCTAAATGTAACTTGTTTTCTAAAACATGTTGCCAATGTAGAGATTTGTGAACAGGTTCTTATGAACCGGGCTTCAGCCCGTTATCTCCTCAGATATTACAGCTCGAGTCGTGTTGTAATAAACGAAAAAACAAGTTCATCTGTCCACTCCAAAACTTCATTTGCAACAGCTGAAAAACCCAAACCAACCAGAACCAGGCCTGTCTATATCTGTGTCTGTACACGATCACCCTGTACGAAAGAAGTAAAGGCCTAACAGTTCCATAAAGAATGCATGTTGCCCGCTGCCAGTTCTAGATGAGGTGGAAACAGTCGAAGTGCACGTTGGTCCACAAGCGTTGAACTAAAAACTGACTGAGTTTCAGCCACTTTGTGTTTGCTAAGGTCAAGTAGCTGTGACAGCCATCTTTAATCGTACTGTCTTTGATGGTGGGTGATAATGTATTTATTTGACAAGTCGTGACAACAGTAAAAAAAAATTAATCTGATATGTGCATACTACAGAGTGTGAAGTGTTGGTTTCAGGCCTAAAACTTTACACTTTATATCAAAACACAATCAGAGCACAATAAATATAAAGCTCTTATAATTCAGTCTGAACGTTGTAATAAAAAGGAATGCGACTAAAACTCATATAAAAACTGGATAAATGGCTGCCGGGCCAAGGGCCGGCTTCAGACACATCTGTTTGTCATGGAAACCGGCAAGCAATCAAAACCACAGGTCAACTCAGGTATCTTTGAAATCTAAAACAAAACAGTATGTTTTACATCATACCAAGAACATCTGGAGTTAAACAAGACGTTTAAAAAGTTTATATATTTAACACCATTTATCTTTATGTTGGCGTTGATTCTCAGTCAGCCAGAACATGAGAGTCCTGAAGGGTTCAGCAGAGGACAACCGGACGAATCACAAGACAAAATGAATCACAAGAAGATGAATCACAAGACAAGATGACTCACAAGAAGCTGAATCACAAGACAAGATGACTTACAAGAAGCTGAATCACAAGACAAGATGACTTACAAGAAGCTGAATCATAAGACGACTTACAAGAAGCTGAATCATAAGACAAGATGACTCACAACAAGCTGAATCACAAGACAAGATGACTTACAAGAAGCTGAATCACAAGACAAGATGACTTACAAGAAGCTGAATCACAAGACAAGATGAATCACAAGACAACATGACTTACAAGAAGCTGAATCACAAGACAAGATGACTTACAAGAAGCTGAATCACAAGACAATATGACTTACAAGAAGCTGAATCACAAGACAAGATGACTCACAAGAAGCTCAATCACAAGACAAGATGACTTACAAGAAGCTGAGTCACAAGACAAGATGAATTACAAGACAAAATAAATCACAAGACAAGATGAATCACAAGACAAGATGAATCACAAGACAAGATAAATTACAAGACAAGATGAATTACAGACAAGATGAATTACAGACTAGATGAATTACAAGACAAGATGAATTACAGACAAGATGAATTACAGACAAGATGAATTACAGACAAGATGAATCACAAGACAAGATGAATCACAAGACAAGATGAAT